ATAACTGTATCAAGTGTTTAAAAATTTTAATTATGTTTCGACGTATCGATTAAAGAACATCTGCATAGTAACAACATAAATTTCGAAGTTCCTTACATACCTTATGAGAAATTTTAACACCTGTCTACTAATAGTTAGTAAAATTGATATATATTCTCCTCTCTAAATAATTTGTAAGTTTAAATTTGTCTATATATTCTACTTTATACTATATTTATTATGTAAAAAAGTGATACAAATGTAGTGTTTGCGAAGGATATAATTCAGAGCTATAAATATATATTTTATGAGTTGAAAAGAATGGATTCATCATGTAAGTTTATGTACTATCCAAAGGAATCTCAAAAATGTTAAACAGAGAGTTACATAACCTTTACAAAGTTCTAGTTAATTGAAAGGATACCTGTAAGAGAAACGAAATGTAACGTTTTCACGTAAGAAGCAATAAAAAATAATATAATATTAATTTCTTATAATTGCACTATGTTTCATCTAATAATAGAAAAACTTTAAATGGAATGTTTGATTTCATTTTCAAATATGTATATTTCATTTGCTTCATTGTACTTTCTTATATGATGTAAAATAGCTATTGAAAGCACAGTTATTATATAGAGTGCAATGAAATACAGATCATTTGCAAGATCTTTCCAAATATTTTTCATCTACTAATAAAAGAAAATACACATTTGTATGTTGCATTTATTAAACTAGAAGGAAATGTTGTAAACGTATTGAATGCAGAGTTTTGAGCAATTTAGCGAATATGTCAGATGTAGATTATCAATTTTAAAAGTCAAAATCATAATGAAAAAAAATTTAATCAGTACAAAATTGAAGAAATGGAATTAGAATTACGAACTTCATTTGCAAAGGGAAAGAAAAAAAAACAAAGTCGAGATGAAATGAATGTACGACTATTTGCAAGTCAAAATAATTTCGAAACTACTTTTAAAGGTAGCGATATTGATAATTATTACGACAGTTCCATTAAAGAAACTGAACATAAGATTTCTTCAGTATTCAATACAGATAAAGTGAAAGTAGTCGGTAATACAGATTCAACGGAATTGTCAAGATTTGCATCAAAATCAGTGGATGTTGTCGTTGATATTCATCGAGAATGTAAAGAAGAACGAAAGGAAGCGTTAAATAAAAAACCAGTAAATCTACCTTTAAGAGAATGTGAAAATTTTAAAGTATTTTCCAAAGCAAAAATCAATTCAAACAAACGGCAAAATTTTCAAAGAAATGACGATGATTTAGTAGAAGAATACAAAGAATCACTGATCGATAAAAGGGACGAAAGAAACCGTAAGTCGACCACGAGGAATATCGATCAATCGTTTGCCGTAAAAAAATCTCATAATAGAAAACAATGGTCTACGCCAAACGATCAGGTAGAAGAACTGAAAAAACCAGCAAGAAAACGATGGTCAAAAAACAAGACTGTGATTCGACTACCGGAATCAAGAGGCATCTCTTGGACCGTTCCATCGCCGGAAAATGTATCTTCATCGATTGAACATTTAGAACAATCGTCGCCAAATCGTTATTTTGGAATTGACAATGCGACCTTCGATTTAGAGAACGAGGAAATTCTGAGAATCGAAACTGGACACAATCGAGAGGACATGAAGATTGAGATCAAGGAAGTTGCTCATGAGTTGAAGTACATGGGATCTGCTACTGTTTCTTCGAGTGAAGAAAGGAAAACTTTCGGGGAAACAGCGATTACGATCGAGGATTTGAATGAACTTACCAATTTAGATGACGCTGGACGTTTTGACCAGTTGAATCTTGATGACATATATTCACGGAAAGGCCGAAAGAGTAACATTGACAAAGATAAAGGAAATGTGTCGCGCAGCTTGGAAGAAATTACCGCACGATCAAATGAGGATCACTCCTTGGAAGAAACATCAAAAATGGCAAAAGACAGGCAGCTTCCGTTAGATAAGAAGAAGAAAAGGAATGGTAAAAAGTATTCCAAAGAATATTCGATATCCACAACAGAAGACGACGATTTTAACGAAGATCAATTAGGAAATTCTAGTCAGCATTCGCTAACTACTACCACTGAGAATGATGACATTGGTAAAAATCATTCCATGGAAATTTACGATGAAACTCAGTCGAGGAAATCAAATAGAAAAAAAATGAAATCGAAATCTTCTAGTCTTTGTAAAAAAGTTTCTAACTCTTCTGTGGACATTTCGAATTCTAATTTCAAGGAGGATAGAAAAAGCAAGAGAGAGAAAAGAAAAAAGACCAAAAAAAAGGATACAAAGTACATTTCCATAACGATTCATAGGACAGATATGTTAGAAATAGATTACGTGACGAAACATCCTATGGTAAAAGTTCACATAGTACTAGCTGAGAATGGAAAGTATTTGAAAAGCAAACAAGGTACGAGTACGTATTTGCAACCTATGATAACGGGGAAATTTGACTTCAAAGAACACCGATCCATAATACCGGTGTGGGAGGAAAAGCTCGTTTTCGAGTATGAATTCAACGAACTTTTAAAAACTGATGGCGAACAAATTGTAATTCTCTTTGAAATCGTTGATCTTTTAAGTTTCACCGAGGCCAGTTTCAACTATCATAAATTTGGCAAGTTTCCCGTTTTGGACATTTTTTAATCCTTTGAGTACAAAATATTATGTACATCGAATCGGTATATCGATTACTTACTATCAAACGATATATGTACAATTACATTATTCTTTAAATGTTTTACCGAAATCAAGTCAATTTGCATTTTCTCAAACGGTATATATTGATTGTGTGGTTGGACGGGTGTTACAACCGGGTAGGGGGTGATTCTACATGTAAAAATAAGTCGAAAAAGAAAGGAATAACATTTTTTCGTTTAACGCCTCGTTTTCGAGAAAATCGAGTTTTAAAATTCTATCCAGTATGCGTGCACTGGAGTAGAAATGTCAATGTATGGATAACACATTTATTAACATTATTTACATCACATTATTTACTTAACATTAATTACATCACATTATTGAATAAACTGTTCAAAGTGACGTCCTCGTTGACTTGTACATATTCTTGCTCGCCTTATCAATTAGTCATGGACTGATACCACATTATTTCGACGCCTTATTTGATCGAAAGCGTTTAGATAAAATGTATTATAGAGGGCAACACTATAAAGTGTAATTGAAAGAAAATGTTCGTAGTGAATAATGAATTGGATAGACAGTCGATAGAATTTTCAAACTCGATTTTCTCGAAAATGAGGAGTCAAACGAAAAAATGTTATTCCTCTCTTTCGACTTATTCTTACATGTAGAATAACCTCCTGCCGGTTGTACCATCCGTGCAGTCACACACTGTATATACATATACAGGATGTGTCAGTAAAAACTAACATCTAAAGTAACTCGTTATCTCTTGCTTGTATGAGAAAATAATTTAAATGAATTATATGTAGGTAAACTTATTATAGGCGTTGAATTCGTCTTTTCATCTGTTGCAACGCAGCATTAAAAAAAAAAAAGATGCATTGATCGTGCAAAAAATTGAGATCACCTTGAAATCTCAAAAAATATAACATATAAAAAAATCTAATTGCATCTATCTCATGCACCCCTTCTAATGGTACATAATTTATTTAAATCCTTTATTGATACAAGCAAGAGATAACCAGTTATTTTCTGTTAGTTCTTATTGAGGGTTAAAAGGGTATCGAACAATACTTTGAAATAATTCAAGTAATTTCACGGATTAATAGGTCACGAAGGTTGTTGGCATAAGATTGCATATGCCTTTTTGAAACCTGTAGGGAAGAATAATGTCTTGCACATTGATAAAAAAGTCCAATTGCAATTGTACAAACCTCGAGAAAATTCAAAGAAATTTAAAAGACTTCACACGTGTGATGTAAGTAATTAGAAACAAGATTTCTGTATTTTTATGCACATTATTTCAACAGAGATTATTTTCATTAGATATTGTAGAAAAATTTATTTTTATAAATGACTGACATCTTCCTATTTTGAACAACAAATTTTCCAGTTAATTTGAAAGTTTCGTTAATAGTAAAGAAATGTCTAAAAGATCCTACAAATTTAGAAAAATTGATCTGCATTTTTTTTAAACGTTGTCATTTTTTTTAAACTCAACTTTTAGTCTCACAGCTATCAATCGATAATCGTGCTTATATCTACTAATTTTTTTCATTTCTAATGGTTACATACATAAGATTACTATATGTTATGTAATATGCGTAATCGAAAAATTTAAAAATATATCTTAAGTGCGAACAAATAAATTTCGGAAGCTTTAGAGCACAAATTATGTTATGATTTAATGTGCCTTATCGTTTAAAATCAGATCACCAAATGGGTACACACTTTCTTCAAATATTATTGTATTCTATATATCTTAATATTGAGTTTTCAATACACTTTTTAGGTGTACACGTGGTGGAAATCGAATTATCGAGAAAAGTACCCCAGCAGTTTATTTGTTACGGTAACGTCTATTGATCCGCCACAACTGGAACCTGTCCTTTATCGGCAATTATCATTCCGCGATTTATCCAATACGTGTAACGAATCACAAAAAACTCCAACCTGCGCATCGGAATCTATAAATTTGCCAATATGGAAGAGATTAGCTGCACAATCTTGCAAAATACCCAACGAAATTGTTTTCGAAACGGACTCTAGCGAAAATGGATGCTTCTACGTTGCTTTCAGCAACAATGGCAAATATTTGGCTTGCAGCTTTTCCGAAGATCACGATTATCCTATTATTATTTACGAGGTGAATCATATTGAAATATGCGTAATTAGAATTAATTAAATACTCATAAAGCAATCGCAATAACAAATCTTTTTATTCGATTGATCAATCGATTAATTTCAATATATTGAAATTTTGTTATAATTCTTTTTATTGTCATTAGGTAAAAACCAAGGCCATTCATGTACGGTTTTCAGGACACAAGACATTTGTTTACACCCTTAACTGGTCTAATAATGATAATTATCTACTTTCGGTTTCATCGGACCAAACTGCACGAATTTGGGATGTTCAGAATCAAATTGTGCAACATATAGAAGTAAGGAAAAATTATTTAATTTCGTTTCATAATATTAGTCCAGATTGTATTGCATTTGATTGTTCTGGTAGGTGATGCCTCATCCGTCGTACGTATACTGTGGTAAATTTGATCTTGAAGACAGCAGGGTAGTAGCAACTGGATGTTACGATCGAATAGCACGTGTTTGGATACAAAGTAGGAAGTCGAAAAATCGCGATCTTAGTCAAGAATTGGAGGGCCATGAGGGCTTTATAAATTCGATGTGTTTCCAAAAGAATAGCAATTTTTTGACGGCAGACAGCGTTGGAATAATAATAATATGGGCGTTGAAAAAAAGTCGAAAAGTATCATTCAGAAAGGAATGGCATATATTGCGAAAAATAAAGGTTAGAGAAATTGTTGGCGTGATAATTAACACGATTGTTTTGCATCCTTTACAATCTAGACTTCTCGTACATTCGAGAAACAGTGAATTGAGAATGTTGGATCTTGCGACTGGGGTAGTATTACAAAAATACAACGGATTAAAAAATCAGAGGTGAATAACACTTGAAAATAATACTTTATTACATGTTAATAAATTAATTTCATGCCCGAGTTACCTTCACACCTTTATTATAGGATACAGTCGGCGACCTGTATTTCTCCGTGCGGTAGTTTGATCCTTTGCGGTGACGAAGACTCGTCATTGAACGTATGGAATTTAGAATCTGGGAATCTTCTCGCAAAATATATCTTTGATAAAAATTATCGAATGGTAACTTGCGTAGATTATCATCCGTATGATCATGTATTAGCTTTCTCGGCTTTTGGCGGTCCAGCACCGGTGAGAATTTTTAAATTTAACAAGGATGCTACTGGGGAAGATGTAGGATTGAAAATGATGGGAGAAATTGAAAACAAAGCTGGTAACAGAGGCATTTCTGCGAAATTGTCAAATATATCGGCAATGCCAAGTGAAAAATCACGATCGCATGATAAAAAGAAAACGTCTAAGGAGGCTTTAAAGGAGAGAAAATTAGAATCTAGTCGAAGTTACGATTCTAGTCTTCGTCAATCGTCTGATAGTATTTTTTCAGGAACAGAGAAGTACAAGGGTGCAAATTTAAAACTTCAACGATTAAATGAAGTTAAGCAAACGTTAAAGAGTCAAAGTACGGATCGCTTGTACAGTATTATCGAGAAGATCGATAGAATTTTGTCAAACACGCCGAGATCGCCGGGTGATATTGAATCTGGGAGGAATGTTACCTTTATACAGGAATCAAGCGAGTACAACATTTTAACCAGTTTAAACGATAACGTAGAAAAGAAGGAAGAGAAACTAGTAACAAATAAATTAAGGTATAAGAATACCGCAGATCAGTCCAATTCTCATTTTGAGACAAGTATAACAAGCAGCGACACAGAGGAAGTTGTACAATTGGACATGCTGCAAAGTGTAAAAAGAAAGGATTGGAGTACCAAAAAAAGAAGATCAAGAAGCACGAAAGACATAAGTAGTAATAATGTATCACAGACTTTTTCTGATAGCATAGCGAATTATCAGGGGCCTGTGGTATACGAGGACGAAATTACAAAAGCTATGCCTCGAGAAAATGTTGAGAAAAAAAATGACAAAAAATCAGCAATTTTTTATAAAAGTAACCGTTTTAAGAAGAACGATTCAAATTCATCCGATAGTGCTGAAACGTATATTATAGAACAGAACGACATGAGCAGATCCAATAAAACGAATAAAGATCCAATAAAAATCCTTGAAACTAGAGATTTCATTTTAAACGGTACAGAAAACGATTCAAATGTAAAACATGCCGAAAGTGAAAGTTCAGTGGTTAGCAACGCGACTTTCATTATTGAAAACGAAGTTCTTACATCGAAATCTAGTAAAAAAATAAATATAATTTCAAATAATTTTTTAAAATAAATTATTATTTAACATACAGTACCCTTACAAACCTAATACTTATACTAAAATACTACACCAATCAGCAAACTGTATATTTCATTATTAAATTTTATATCGTCCACCTTATGTCAAAACCATGAATGTGCAGATTTTCACTTCTTGCGTAAAGAAGTGGCTGAATGTCTTTTTTTTGTTCCTAACTTTATATAAAATGATAAATGTGCACGTAGCATAACAACTGTTTCCAAAAATGTTGATCTCTAGAATTATCTGAATGTATTTGTATCTGATTACATGTGCATTTTACATTCAATTGTGAATTTTCATAATTTGTCGAATTACATATTCATGTCATTGAGGCGGATGATATAAAACTTCATAAATTCCACAATGATCTTTTATATAGCTTTCTACTAAATATTGTGTGCAATAAGTTTTGTAATTGTTATTGATTATTTTGCAATGATTTTTTTTTTAAATGTAAATTACGCAAATAACGCAATTTAGTGCTTTCTATGTACATATATTATTGCATTCCATCTAGATTGTTTTTTTTTTATATGAAACTTGGTATACAATTTTTTA